TTTTTAAAACAGACAAACAAAAGATGAATGCTATTGATGTTGCCACTTATATTGGCAAACATAACGGTACAGCCGTAGTGATTTGTGACTCAAGGATAAGAACTGTTGAACTAGGTTAAAGAGTTCGATAGAAAAATACCTACGACCACATCAAACTCTCCCTCTTTCTCTCTACCATACTGTAATTGTTCTAGCTATAAATCATTCCACRATTGAGGAAAAAACTTGRTCGAGTGCATTGCAGTGCATTGTGGGTCTGCTTTAGAAGGCATGTTTCGAAGATGGCGTCTTTCCCTTCTAAAAAATTCCCAGTTTTTTCTCCTCAATCAACCTCGTAACCGTTTCAACGACGTCCACACAAGACCTTCTTAAAGTGCTTATAAGCCTTTACACAATATTTTCAGAATTGATTCTTTAACTAGTACTATGACGTAACATAAGGGATTTGAGTTATTTTGTGGCAACTTTTAATACTGAACGCTGGAAATTTTTTGAAAGCAAATTTGTAAGAACCGTTACGTGAGTCACGAGTAAAAGGGTGATGATTTTAAAATACTGTAATCCAGAACGAGTGCAGTGTTGTATATTAAATGACCCTTATGTTACTTCATAGTCATTAACATATTGGGAATAAAAACCTTCGTACCTCAAAGACCCGACATTCAAATGACGAATTATTTTCACAATCAACTATCCACTATCTAAAGAATCAATTCTGAAAATATTGTGTAAAGGCTTATAAGCACTTCAAAGTTGTTATCTAGACTACCACAAACTTGATTTACATAATGAGCCCATTCCACAAGAATCTAAAAGGAATATAATCTTACATTTCATCCATTAGGTAGATAATCAAGATATAAATCCATTAATAGTAAACAAAAGTGTTAAATATCAAAGAATTATAATATTTCATAAATAAATTTCAACGAAGTATATATAATAAATATTTTGCATAAAAATGATTTTTGTAAAATTGGATTTTTTCGATGAGAAATTGGTTGGAGTCAACCAACGCTAGGAGATTAATCTTCGGAATTCAATAAATTGATGTTCAAAGATATCCAATCAAGACCGTCACGAAAATTGGTGGGTTTAAGTTGACGTCTCGTGCAGAATGWCCACAAGTTGAGTCACAAGTTTTCAATATAAAATTGTTTCTGGCTAAAAGCACACGGTGGTCAGTGTTTGAATACTATTGACAACTCTTAAAACTCCAGTGAATGCGAGCTTAGCCTCATTCGTATTCTCATACAGTCAATTCAAAAAACGTTGTCGTCGACCAACTYAAGCCTACGCGACTGGGCCGAAAGGATCCCTGGGTAGTAATCATTGAAGCCGAGTTGACTCCATAATTTTATCTGACTAGTTATGCYTGGTTTACAGCACGAACCTTCGTAGGCGATCGGGAAGTGTTGAAGGAGAAGTCTTTTTAATGCCTTCATATTATCGAAATTGTGAACTGAATCATAACTACTTTTTTTTTCTTTCCCTAAACCCAAAGACATGCATTTGATGGATTGTTTCTCGCCATTATTATCTTATAACTAGCGGGAACAATTCATTCAGAACGAATATTTAACCGCTTCAGTGATTTTTACCCATATTCCTTTCGGTCCAGTCGCGTAGGCTTGAGCCGGTCGACGACAACGTTTTTTTGAATTGGCTGTATACATTGACTGAGATGGGAAAGTTTCAAGCTCCAGTGGATTAGATCTCTATTAATAATTATCAGAATATATAAAATATAGGATCTTACAAAATCTAAATACATAAAACACCAATTCACATAAAAGTTACACGAGTTTTCTCGAAATGAGTTGGAAAAATAATAGATTTCCTTAAAAACTAAATTACATTTTATTGTCCAGATTCTCTAATATGATTGGATGATTACTCAGAAACCTCGATTGTGATTGGTTGATTATTCAGAAAACTCAACTATAATTGGATGATAGTTTAGAAAACTTGATTGTGATTGGTCGATTTTGTTCAGAATACTCGATTATTTTTGGATGATTATACATAATACTTGATTATGGTTATGAATGGTTGATTATTCAACTCGATGGTGATTGGTTATTTATTCAAAATACTSAATTGTGATTGGTTGGTTATTCAGAGTCCTTGATTGTGATTGAACGATTTTTCCAAATAGTCTATTGTGATTGGATGATTTGAACAATGTCCTAGGTTGGAGTGCATCTCGCTCGAGTTTTATTTCAGCAAGGTAAAGTAGATTTTATGTTTCATTACCAGCATTTACCAACTGTGCTATAATAGCTCCTAGAAAAATAGATCTCTCTAAACGCAATAAGTATCTCACTATGAATGGATTCATTTGTAAGAATCGACTGTACTTCACAAAATTAGAAGTTTATAATCAAGTTAGAAATATTTGAATTCTTAGTAGATGATTAAATATATATTTTTCAATAGTTTGTTGACAAAACCAAATTTACAGTCAAACTAAGAAAGCCGTCACACCTAAAATATGCCTGGAATGTTAAACATCGTGTTCTGACCAATCACATGCGAGAATGAATTCATTTCTAATTAACTGTGCCATGTGATTGGTCAGAACACGATGTTTAACATTCCAGGCATATCTTTTGCTGTTCACGGCTTTCTTCGTTTCAATGTAAGAGTATAAGCAGAATTTGTAAGATCTATTTTAAGGGTTCTGATTGATAGAGTTATGAYGTCATTATAGTTCGTCGAGGACTCAATATAACACTACTTATAATTAGTTAAAAAAACGTTAAAATGTAAAGAAGAGTCGATAATTAAAAGTTCTGGTCATAAAAATAATATTTATAAAAAGTTTTACAGTGACGACACTCGAACCATGAACTATTCAAGATTTTCTGGTTATAATTTCCTGAACTTTCTACATTTTCAAACCCTCTAAAATGAAGGATTGAGTTCAAATACACCGGGTGATCAATATAAATGTCATTCAAACTGACCTTCTTCGTTGTGTGACAATGTTATCCCAATTGAACGTGACAAGCCTCTAAGGGAATGAAAAGCTATTGTTTTGAAACCCGTCGGGATATCATTTTTATTTCATTCGTATCCTTTGGGATACTCATGAATATTTCGAAGAGTAAAAACAATAGAAAATAAATTCTCTGGATGTATGTCACGCTGAATTGGGAAAACATTGTCACACCACGAATTGCTTACTATCAATCACGTGACTTTTTTGGAGCTGACTGGGGGCAAATAAGCGGTTGACTGAGGGGCAACTAGCGAATGTTAAGTCAAAACATGTCAAAATAAGTCTTCAAACTACAGCATTTGACTATTTCTACGACATCAAACCAGAAAACAAGAGATCAAAACAACCTCCAAGATTCTACAAGGTATTAAACTCGCAGCTATTACCGGAAGTGACGTCTATTGATAGCAACCTATGAGGTCTACTGATTGACTCAATGATTGATTTACAGTACATATTTTYCAAAAAGTGACAAAAATCTCGAAGTGTTCATGGTTTTAGTGTTGTTACTGCAAGAAGTATATGTTTTTCGTAGTTTATGGATTATATATATATATATAATAGTCGTAGTAATATTGGTATCAATAGTATTATATGATAATATATAAATTCTTCGTGAATAATAATCGTACGTATGAATACCACAAGATATGTGTTAGATTGAATGGTCGTTAGACATCCACTGATATGCTGTGGCTGGTAGAACCTCTTTTTCCAACCTAGAAAATGAAAATAAACACTCATTATCATCATCATGATCATCATGACCATCATGATCGTGATCATGATCATCATGACCATCATCATTATCTATCACCATCATCATTCATTGTCTATCATCACAAACATCTATCACCATCATCATCATCATCTCTATCATCATCATCATCATCATGACCATCATCATTATCTATCATCACCGCTATCATCTATCATCATCATCATGACCATCATCATTATATATCATCACCATTATCATCATCTATCATCACCATGACCATCATCATCATCTATCATCATCATCATYCCTTGTCTATCATCATCATTATCATCATTATCATCATTATAATTATTGTGATTATCATATTTGCCTATCATCATCATCATTGCCTCCAACCATCAACATCATCGCCACCATTCACACAATTTTCAGAATTATCTCCATCACCAATTTCTTCATGATTATCATCACCAACATCATTATCATAGTCATTCATTATTACACATAATCAGCATCATCACTACAACATCAGCACATCATCATCATTATTGTCACCTTCATCACCATCACCACCACCATCCTCAATTATTATCCTCAATATCATCTTTATCATCATCACCTTACACATCATCATCATCACAATTGTTAAGGTTAACGACCATTTAATCAGACAGGTCACCGCATAATGTACTGCGATTTGTCTTACATTACATGAAAACTAATCTAAAGGCAGGAATGAAAATAAGTAAATAGAGGTACAATTATTTCAGATTGTTTTGAAAAACGATTGCAATTATCTGCAATAATTGAAGATGGCAGCTTTCAGCGCGGGAGTAACGTTTTCACATTTCATACCACGTGTCATTCCCTACAGTATCATTTCTTTGCTTAATTGTTGCAAATGTTAACTTTTTTCTCTAAATTCTTGGAAACGCATAATTTTCTATTTGAAAGAGACTCGTGGCTAGGGCCGCTTGGCTAAGCATCGAAGCGTGCTGTGATTGGTCGGTTTGAGCGTGCACCGGACACCTGGATTATAGTTAATTACGTACCACAACTTTCCCATTCTGCTGCTCTGCTATTACTTGTAATGGGACTGGGGTATCTGTCGGCACAGAATCATTCATCACTAAGAAAAGAAAAAGAGAAAAAATATACAAGGAAATAAATAGAGGTTATTACACTGCAAGTTGTGTTTTACAGCCAGATATTTTTACGAGTGAAGGTGGACATATTTTTTTCGAGCCCCATAGGGGAAGAAAAATATAGCTTCACAGGAGTTTCTTTCAATTCATGCCATAAAACACCGCTCTGTTCATTCACTACAAATTGATTTTCGCAGGATTAGCTTCAATTTTGTGCAGAATATTCCTGTGTTCCAGTGAATATTTGTGGAATTTCAAAGTGTTTGTATTGTTGAAGTTGTGCATTCTTTACTTTATCGTTGGTATTTGTGAATAATTAGACATTGTTACGAAGCTAATCCTCAGTAAATGAGTCAAAAAGGTTTAATTTAATAAACCTAAGCAGATTAATGATGGTAATTGTACTGAGTGGAGTGCAATTTGGTTTGAAATCAAACGCGCGATTTCAAACCAAAATTGCACGACACGAAGTTCAATTACCACTTAATCATATCCTTTTTGTAATCA